TCTATCAATTCCTGATAGGGGAGTGTGTTGAAATTTACAATGTAAATGCTAATTTGTCTGTTTTTTATCAGTTCTATTTTTATCAGTCTTGCTTCATTTATTTTGAAGCTGTATTTCTTAAGACTGTTACATCTTCTCAGTAGATTGGGCCTTTTACTGTTATGTGGCATCCCTTTCTGTCCCTGATACTTCCCTTTGCTCTAGGGTCTACGTGGCCTGGTAGTAATACAATCACCCCAGGTTTCTTTTGATGAGAGAGTAGGCACCGTAGGGGCTTCCCAGGTGGCTTGGTGGAAAAGACTCTCCCTGCCAATGCAGGAGACACACAAGACATGGATTTGATCTCTGGGTCAGGGCAATTTCCTGGAGAAGGAAATGGCAACCCACTTCAGTATTCTTGCCTGGAAAATGCCATGGACAGAGGAGCCTGGTGGGCTACAGTCCATGGCGTCGCAAAGAGTTGGACATGACTAAGTGAGCATGCTGCGTCTTTATAGATTGTTTTATCAAGTGTTTTCTTTTTAACTAACCTGTATCACTATCATTTTTGAAAGTGCATATCATTATGTCTTTTTTATCATTCTGATAATCTCTAACTTTAAAAAGATAGAACTTATTATGATATTAATCCTTTTAAGTCTTTATTGAATTTGTCACAATATTGCTTCTGTTTTATGCTTTGGATTTTGGCCCTGAGGCACGTGGGATCTTGAACCTGCACCCCCTGCATTGGAAACTCGGAGTCTCAGCCCCTGGACCACCAGGGAAGTCCCCACTGATGTTTGTTTTCTAATTCACTAATTTTTACAGCATTATGGAAGCATTGTTGCAATGTATTTCAAACATCATGAAGTTCACCCATTTAAAGCGTACGACTCCTTGGCTCTGAGTATAGTCACAGTTTGTGATCCTCACAGCAGTCTGAGTTTAGGATATCCTCAACACTCCAGAAAGAAACCCCGTCCTCACTGGCTCGCAGCCCCTCCCCACTTCCCCAGACCTCGGCCCAGGAACCCACGGCTTCCCTGGCAGTTTCCGTGGAGTTGCCTGCTCTGGACATTTCGCCTGCACCATGTGGGTTTTAGACTGACTTCCGTCTCTGTTTACATTCTGTTATCCTCCCCTGCTTCCCTTTCTCTGATTCAATTATCTTAATAGATTTTTAGCATTTCATTTTATTCTGTCTGCTGAAGTTTTGACTATGTCTTTTGTGGCGGTTTATTTTAGTCATTACTGCAGGAATTACAAGCACAGGACTTTTCCCAGTCCATATAGAATCATTTTGCCCCCTTCAGGTGAAATATTAAATCCCAGCATCACACAGGCTCCTTTTCACCATCTCTACACTGTATTATTTACAGGGATCACATCTGCAATTCCTGAAAATCCCATCAGACAGCATTATAATTTTTACCATGGTGGTCTTATTTTAAAGCATTTCAGAGAACAGTCTATTTACCCTGAAAGTCATCAATTCCTTTGTTCCTTTATTCCCAATGTTCCAAATTTCCCTCCAGTATAATTTCCTTTATTCTGAAAAACTTACTTCAGCCTTTCTATTAGAGCAGTTCTGTTGGCCACAAATTCCCTTAGAGCGCCTTTATCAGTCTCTTCTCACCTTTATTCTTAAAAGATACATTTTGCTGAATATAGCTTTCTGGGTCGACAGTTCTTTTCTTTCATTTAAAACGTTTTTTAGACGTTATGTCAGTTCCCCCTGGCCTTCCCGTTTTTGTAGACGAGATCTTCAGTCATCTGTAGACGAGATCTTCAGTCATCTGAACCATGACTTCCTCACACACTGTTTGGGGTCTCTCTGGCTACCTTCATTTTCTGTTCGTTTGGTTCTGGTTTTGGGTTTGGTGGAGGACTTGTCTTCAGTTTACAGCAGTTCAATTATGGTCAAGGGTTTCTTTGAGTTTTTCTTCTTGGAGGTTCTAGAACCTATAAGTTTATGTATGCCCCAGATTTGGGGATTTTTCAGCCAAACATTTTTTCAAATATTTTTTCCTGTCCATGTCGTTTTTTCTCGCTGGGACACTGATGACACGAATGTTGGAGCCTTTTTACTGTCCCACTGACCTCTGAGTGTCTGCTCGCTGGTGTCCATAAAAGATCATTCCCACTGGCTTTCCTTCCAGTTCACCCACCTTTCTTTGTCATATCCAACCTGCTAGAGACTCCATCTGTGACATTTCTACTCCTGTGATTATATTCTTCAGTTCTAGAACTGCCATTTCATCCTTCTTCTTGGCTGCTATTTCCTCACTGAGACTTCTAATCCTTCCATTTGTTTCAAGAGTGTTTGCCCTTACTACATAAACCATGGTTTTTAAAGCATTTTTTCTAACAATGCCAATGTCTGTGTCATCTCAGCATTGAGGTCTGTTAACTGACTTTTACCTTATAAATTATCTTTCCCCTATTGTTTCTAGGTACCAAATAGTTTCAGATTGTGTCTTGGGCGTTTTGACTATTACAAGACTCTCGGTCCAGTTTAAATGCTGTGGATAATGTTGATGCTTTGTTTAGCTGATAATTCTCTATGTCAAGAACAAAGTTCTGATGCTCTTTCTGTGGGTTGTGGCTTCAACACTCAGCTGTTTTCAAAGCCTTTGTGGCCCTATTCAGACCTGCCCAGCTATTCAGCTGCCGGGTGGCCAGTCTGGGGCAGTACTGTGTCCCATACTTCAGTTCTCAAAGTTCACAATGTGCTCTTTAAGGTTGGATTCATGTACACACAGCTAAGGTTAGATCCATGCACACACATACACACAGAGGACTGGTTCCAAGTTGGGAAAGGAATGCATCAAGGCTGTATATTGTCACCCTGCTTATTTAACTTCTATGCAGAGTACATCATGAGAAATGCTGGGCTGGAAGAAGCACAAGGTGGAATCAAGATTGCCAGGAGAAATATCAATAATCTCAGATATGAAGATGACACCACCCTTATGGCGGAAAAGTTAAGAGGAACTGAAGAGCCTCTTAATGAAAGTGAAAGAAGAGAGTGAAAAAAGTGCCTTAAAACTCAGCATTCAAAAAACAAAGATCTTGGCATCTGGTCCCATCACTTCTTGGCAAGATGGGGAAACAATGGAAACAGTGACAGACTTTATTTTCTTGGGCTCCAAAATCACTGCAGATGGTGACTGCAGCCATGAAATTAAAAGATGCTTGCTCCTTAAATGAAAAGCTATGACCAACCTAGATAGCATATTAAAAAGCAAAGACATTACTTTGCCAACAAAGGCCCATCTAGTCAAAGCTATGGTTTTTCCAGTAGTCAGATATGAATGTAAGAGTTGGACATAAAGAAAGCTGAGTGTTGAAAAACTGATGCTTTTGAACTGTGGTGTTGAGAGTACCTTGGACTGCCAGGAGATCCAATCAGTCCATCCTAAAGGAAATCCTAAAGGAAATCTGAATATTCATTGGAAGGACTGATGCTGAAGCTGAAACTCCAGTACTTTGGCCACCTGATGGGAAGAACTGACTCATTGGAAAAGCCCCTGATGCTGGGAAAGATTGAAGATGGGAGGAGAAGGGGATAACAGAGGATGAGATGGTTGGATGGCATCACCAACTCGATGGGACACAACTGAGCAACTGAACACACAGCTTGGAGGTAAGCTGGGAGCTCATGCAATACTATACTGGCCAGAGGTCTTGACTTCCTTTCTCGTTGTAGCTACCCCACACTTCCTGGCTCTCTAGGGCGCCCTTTGGGCAGCCCAGCCTCCAAACCAGAACCCTGGGGTTGCCCTTTTTCTGCCCTGCCATTTATTTTCCACAGCTGCACTTGTGTCTGAGCCAACCATCAGGAGGATAGAGAGGACAAGGCCATAGGAACTTACCTGCTGCTCTTAGGATCACCAACAGCAGAGGGAAAACCGCCTCCTTGTGCCTATGACGTGCCCGCTCAGCCCACCCACTCCAGCCATGTTCTCCTGAGATTGTGCTCGGGCAGAAAGGATAAAAGCAAAAAGCAAACCAGTGGATCCCTCACTGCATCTAAGCCTCAAGAGTCTCCTTTTCCATTGCTCACCCTAAACAGTAAAGGCTTCTCTGGAGGCTCTTTCTGTCCACACCTGATGAATGCATTCCTGTTTCACGCTGCCTTTAACACCAGTCTGAGAAACATCAGGGGGGAATAAAATGGGAAACTCACCACCTGTTTGGTGCTGGTCTATTTCCTCCGTCTGCCTCCTGACACATCCCCCTCTGAGCCTCACAGAAAGTCAGTCCAGGTTCCAAATTTGTGTTCAGTAGGATGACAAAATGGGGTGGGCTTAACACTTCTTGCTCAAAACAAGAACTCAAAATTTTATCTTTAACCTTCTTAGCAATCTTGAAGGGAAGTCATCGCTATCTGCCTATTGCAAATAAGGAATCTGAGGCTCAGAGAAGTCACATAATTGACCCCGGATCACACAGCCAGTGAGTGGAATTCAGAGTCAGGCGTGTGTGACTTCAAACCCTGAGGTCTGTCTCCACAGCCCCTTTCGGGGAAACTGTGTGGGGAGGGGCATGATGCCTGGTCTGCAACAGGGAGCTCAGATCCTGCACCCCACTCACTGTCCGTGGGGCATTCCCTGAGTCAACGCCTGTCTTTGTACTCACTTCTACCACCTGCGAAATGAGGGAGGTTCTCGGATGCTTTGCAGGTCAGATACCACATGGCTTTCTCTTTGAACAGGTTATACTGAAGGCAGCTTGTGAAAACTTCTGTTGCTAAGGGTAACCTGCCCATCTAGGATGAACCCTCGAAATTACTTTGCCCTGAGAGCACCCCCACCTCCAGGCTACCTGGAGCTTTGCCCTTGGGAAGGGGTTAATGGGTGGATTTCTTTTCTTTCAATGTTAATAGAAAATCAACGCCACCTAGTCTGTTGGGAGAAGCCTGTGATCTCACACACAATCTTGGCCACAACCTTCCTTGGCCCCGTGGCCACACAGACTGCGTGGCTCTGGGGACAAAGGCTGGGGTGGCAGCGGCCATGGAGCGAACGCAGAAGGTTCTGAGCCTTCTGGGAACACACGGCTGGTGTCTGAAAGCATGGACTCTGGGCTTTCACAAGACCCTGCAGGTCCTCAGCACCTGCACGGACTCCACTCCCGGGCATGAACACGTAAGTGTCAGTCACTCAGCCGTGTCCGACTCTCTGCGACCCCATGGACTGTAGCCCGCCAGGCTCCTCTGTCCATGGGATTCTCCAGGCAAGAATACTGGAGTGGGTTGCCATGCCCTCCTCCAGGGGATCTTCCCGACCCAGGGATCGAAACCAGGTCTCCCTCCTTGCAGCAGATGCTTTACCATCTGAGCCACTCGGGAAGCCCAGGCATGAGGCTGGCACCGATTTCCAGACGGAGCCCCAACCAGCCTCTGCCGCTCCCCCCGTGTGTCTTCCCGGAGTCCTCTGCCCTGGCCCCCAGGCTGGACAGGCCCAGCTCCACGGCCCCTCCTGAAGGCCCGGCTTCTCTGCTTGCATCGTTCTCCTTCTGAAGACTGTCTTCCATCTCCTTTGAGCAGGAAGATAAACCCTGCCCCTTGCCCGGGTCGTGAGGCCCCAGAGTCCCTGCTGCCGTGGGCCTGGCACCCGGCGCTCTGCCCCTCTGCTCAGTCCGGGCCGGATCCACCTCCCGCCTCCGCCTTCTCCACCCAAAGCTCGGGGTCCAAAGGGACAGATTATGAGCTCGCGGATTCAAAGCAGGCAGGAAGCTTTGTGCTCAACGAATGGGGCTTTTCTGGGTCATGGCTCAGAAGGAATAAAGGATTCTGATTCAGTTACAGAGCGAAGTGGCTGGAGTCCAGGGTCAGCCACCGGCCTGATGCGATAGCGCCGGGCCCTTGGCTCCTCTGCCCGGCAGCTGATAAGGGAGCCAGCTGGAGGGGGACCGAGGGGGCCGTAGGCTGGCCCGCCCCCACTAAATGACTGTGCGTCCTTGAGTGGACTCTCGCCTCGCTGGGCCCCCCTCCTGCCTGGTCGTGGCAGCCCCCAGCCCCACAGCTCACTGTATCGGGAGGTCACACCCAGGGCACTCCCAGTTCAGCATGTTTCACCCTCATCCACAGCTCAGAAGCTGGTTGCAGCCCCGGCACTTTAGCGCGGGAGGGACCTCGGCCAGTAACTCGAGAAACGCCAGCAGCTCCCATCCTTGGGACATTTCGGACATGGAGAAGCTGAGGCCCAGGTCAGACATGACCAGTGGGCAGTTTGGAGGGAAACTGGAGCTCCCGCCGGGGCGTTCCCCCAGCAAGGAGGCTGCTCCTCAGGTCCCCGGACTCTCCTCCTTCTCGACACTTCTGAGCATCTGACTCAGGACCGGGCCGCCGTGGGCTTTAAAGTAAGCACCAGCAGGCACTTCTCCGGTGGTCCAGAGGCTGGGACTCGGCACAGCCAAGGCAGGGGCCCCAGGTCCATCCTTGGTCAGGGAACTAGATCCCCCACGCCACAGCTAAGACCCAGTGCAGCCAAATAAAGAAATAAAAATAAATATATTTTTAAAATTAAGTAGCAACACTTCTGCCCTAAAAGCCTTCCTCTGGCCCCTGGCCCACAACCCTCCACTGTCCCTCCTTCCCCCTCCTCCCCTCCCTTACATGATTCAGTTCACATCAGTTCAGTCTCTCAGTCGTGTCCAACTCTTTGAAACTGCAGCACACGAGGCTTCCCTGTCCACCACCAACTCCCGACGCTTGCTCAAACTCATGTCCATTGAGTCGGTGATGCCATCCAACCATCTCATCCTCTGTCGTCCCCTTCTCCTCCCGCCTTCAATCTTTCCCAGCATCAGGATCTTTTCCAATGAGTCAGTTCTTCACATCAGGTGGCGAAAGTATTGGAGTCTCAGCTTCAGTATCAGTCCTTCCCTTACATTATAATAGACACTTAGTAAACCAGGAAGACACACTTTATTCAAGACAACCGTCGTGGAGCCAAGAGATTGGACTCAATTCCGAATCCAGCAAGGACAGCCAGGGATCTAAAGCCAAAAAGCAGAGTGAAGGGTCCATGGGTGGAAAAACTAAGAGGAACCTAAGACAACCCAGGGCAGGGTGATCCTCGCTAAAGGCCCCAAGGTGATCAGCTATGATGGGTGGGGCTCCCCAGTGAAGTAGCTCAGTAGGATTCTTCTGCCTAGTGGCTCTGGCCGTTCATCCTCCTGGGGACTCAGGGGTGGGGCCTCCGCTGGGGGCCAAGCTTTGGCTGTTCCAAAGAAGGGCTCCTAAAGCCGAGTGAGGAGCAGACACTCAGGAAGGTGCTTAGCGATGGAGGAGATGAGGTCAGGTCCCGGAGGACGGGTGCACACTGGCCAAATAGCCCAAGGGCAGGGTGGGAGGCAGGAACCAGCCCAGACCAGCTTCCCCGACAAGAGAAGGGCCAGGAGGTCCACAGTGACCATGCAGCAGGGGGGTCTCCCAGGGGCTGGGTCACACCCAGAGCGGACCTGAACACCCCTCCTGGGCCCCAGCCCCTTCCCCATTCCTCACCAGAGACCAGGCCTGGACCCAGGGTCTCTCAGCCCAGCCCCAGTCCTGCCTCGAGTGGGCCTTGAGGAGAGCCCGTGGATTGAAACAGCCAGACGCAACTGCGAGAATAGTTATCCTTTGGAGAGAGATAAGGGAATGCAATCAATCAATCAGAAAGAGATATTCACGCAGATTAATTAAAAAGCATCTTCAGAGTGTAATTGCTAAACACTGTTTTGTTATCATCTGCTTTTCCAAAATGGGGTTATCTACACACATTTGTGTGCCGCTGCCGCTTTAACCACCCCTTTGATTGATCCACCCGGGCACTTACTCACCCCACAAGCGCCTCCCTGAGAGGCGGCACTGATGGAGATGCAGCGGCCCAGAGCGGCGGCGGCTGGCGGGGAACTCGGAGACTGAGCAGCCCTCCTGCACCGCGACCTCCTGCCCAACTGCATGGGAACCACCCCACCCCCCAGCATCCAGTCCTCCCTGGGGACTGGCCCCCGGGGGGTCAGCTGGAGCTCCAGGGCCCAGGCCCGTCCTGCCTGGAGCTCCACTCCATCCTAGACCATCAACCCTGAGGCCGGAAGGGAGGCAGCATCACTCATTCTCCCCTCGCCCATCCGTTCCCATGAGTCCCCGCGTCGTGCACACACTCCTGACAGCCACTCGGTAAGGACGGGAGGGGGAGCGAGGGCTAGCAGCCTCATCCATGCACTCAACACCTGCCGCTGGTGCCCCCGCCGGGGCAGGCCCTAGACCAGGCACTGAGACACAGTGTGAGCAAAACCGTCAGGTCCCTGTGACCACGGAGGGACGCTCAGGGCAGGAGACAAGACACCATGTGGGTCCCCTGCACACCTACCTGCGATGGAGCAAGGTTGTTGCTCAGTCGCTCGGTCATGTCTGACTCTGCAACCCCAGGGACTGCAGCACGCCAGGCTTCCCTGTCCTTCACCATCTCCCAGAGCCTGCTCAAACTCATGTCCATTAAATCAGATGCAGAGAGCAGACTCATTGGAAAAGACCCTGATGCTGGGAAAGATTGACGGCAGGAGGAAAAGGGGACGACAGAGGATGAGATGGTTGAATGGCATCACTGACTCAATGGACATAGGTTTGGGTGGACTCTGGGAGTTGGTGATGGACAGGGAGGCCTGGCGTGCTGCAGTCCATGGGGTCGCAAAGAGTCGGACACGACTGAGCAACTGAACTGAACTGAACTGAACCATCCAACCATCTCATAGGAATAAAACCCAAAACACATGGCAAGTGAGTCTTCAGGATGTGCTCAGCTTCACACGCTTAACGCTGAGCGGAGGGGGAAACTGAGGCCGGCGAGGCAAGGGAAGCTGCCAGACCTCACAGCTGAGCCCGGCTGCAGCCCAGCGGGGGACCCTGGACACCGCTGCCCGTCGCCAGCGTGAGGAGCCCCGGCGCAAGCCAGGTATGCAGTTTTGCTTTTCATAGCAGGCACATCTTAAAAAGTCAAAAGAAACAGATGAAATTAATTTCAATAACATAGTTCATTAAACCCAACTGATCCAAAGAATTATCATTTCAGTAAGAAAGTCATATGAAAAAAACGATTGAGCCATTTATTTCACTTTCTCTTTTTTCAAAATGAGTGTTGGCGCTTCAGAGCGTGTTCACACTCACGCACACGGCTCAGCGCAGGCCAGCCGTGTCCCACGTGCACAGGGAGCTCGTGGTCACCGTTCTGGTCCATGAAGAGGCAGAGCCTGGGAGCAGGGCGGGGGTCCTGGGGCCGGCATGGAAAAGGGGGTCAGGGTGAGGTGATATTTTATGTGAGTTTTGGATATTGGGAAAGAGTCAGCCTCAAGAATCTCTCTAGGGACAACTTCATGGGCAAAAGCAACGGGAAGGCATTGGGCCCAAGCTAGGAGTAGTCCTGGTATTTTTGAGAGGCAGGAAGAAAAGCTCTGGGTGTGAGTGCCCTGGACCAGTGGGGACGTGGTAGAGACGTGTCAGGGGTCAGGGTGAGGGTGTAGACGGAGGAACAGCTCAAGGACACGTGGCCGGGCGTTCTCCACACTCAGAAGAGCTGCTAGAGATGCAAGCAGTCAGCAGAGGTCAGGCTCAGGGAGCAGAGGTAAGACCAGCACCCCGGGGTCCCTGGAGCCACATGTGGCCGTGAGCGAGCATAGCCGTGGTCCGCCTGCTGCTCAGACTCCACACCTGGGGCAGGAGCGCTGGCATCACAGGAAGGGGACGTGGGGAACGCGTTGCGATAGACTTCAACTTTTCCCTGGCTTCAACACTCCCAGATTTCTGGACTTTGGGAAGATGGGAATCCTTCCGTGGAATGACCACACCCCCCACCCCAACTCTCAGCCCACACAAACAAGATTAATCCAACGAGAAAGCTCTGAGGGGACCCGCATCTCCCGCATGGGAGTCGTCTGGCCAGAATGGCCTTATTTAGACTGATGGGAAGGAAAGTGAGGTCTTTGGGCATGAATCTCTGCTCCCAGCCAAGACTGCTGGTGGTGACCTGGCGTGGCCGCTTTTCTGTTCATCGTGGCGTTTAATAAGGTGACATCCGTTGTCAACTACCATAGGAGCCAGCACGTCTCCTTTGCCTCTAAGTTTGATGGGAGTCTGTACCTTTTCTGAGTTATTTAAATAAGCAGCGATCAGCCTCTCAGCTTGTAAATCAGCCTAGTGCCTTGTCCTCAGGCACTGCCAGAAATGGCTCCAGATCTTACTGCCAATAACCACGCTACCAGGGAGGCGGGCTCAGCCCTTCCCCAGGCACACACTTTCGGCAGGTAACCTTGGCCTGGAACCTGGAACGTGTGTAGAGGATTCTCGAGGCTCAGTCATCTTCCCTGCAGAGCTCTGTGCGGGCAGCACTCAGGGAACCCCCGCAACCAAGCCACACGAGGGGGAGAAACAGAAAGTTCTGAAGCGAGGGGAGGGTGCTTATGGGTCAGTCACTCAGCCTGTGCGCATAGCTTTGTGGAGCATCAGGGACTGTTCTAGAACCAGGGATGTAAGCTCATGCTGGGTTGTGTCCAACTCTTTGCAATCCGACGGACCGTAGCCCACCAGGCTCCTCTGTCCATGGGATTCTCCAGGCAAGAGTACTGGAGTGGGTTGCCATTTCCTTCTCCAGGGGATCGTCCCGACCCAGGAATAGAACTAGCATCTCTTACGTCTCCTGCATTGCGGGCAGGCTCCTTACCACTAGTGCCACCTGGGAAGCCCCCAGAACCCAGGATGTTGGGATGTACAAGCAAGACCAAAGTCCCTCATCTGTCCAGGCAGACATTCTGCTGGGGGGTCCATGTGCATTCATTGCCATGATCTCTCTATTCACCTCTAACCCCCAGGAATTTAACTCCTCAACCATGGCAGGGAAGCAGGGGTAACTCGCGACGCTTCCTGAAGTCTCTGTGTTGTCTCGGTAAAGCGGTGCGCAAGGCACCCACAGCCGCAGAGAGGAGGAAGCCACCCAAGTGCCCGTGCGGGGAGGGGCGGGTGCGCAGAACACGGCCCACCCACACGTGGGGATCTCATCTGACTATAAGGAGGATGGAGTTCTGACACATGGATGAGTCTTAGTAACACATCTTCTTCATACTAAGAGATCAGTCAGCCACGGAAGGACAAACACTGTGCAAGTCCACTTCCACGAGGGGGACTTATGGTTTAGTTAGGGCAGTTTCTGTTTGGGAAGATGAGAAAGCTCTGAACTAGAGGGTGATGATGGTTGTACATCAGAATGTCGTCAAGGACCCTGAATTGTACACTTAAAAACCGTGAAGCGGTACATTTTATGTTATATATATTTTACCACAGTGAAAAGAAAACTA